TACTCTCCTCCAGGTTCTTTCATTCCCGAGACGACGTCGACTCCGCGATTCGTTTATTATCGAAGAGGAACGGAAGATTGATCGTCGTTTCTCGATGTTTATAATTATTTTGAACGATGCCCGGTGCTCATTGTGCGCCGCGCGGAGACGGACACTCCGGCCGACGCGTCCGCGCAACCAACGAAGAAAGCGATAAATTCTCTCCTCCTTTGCCTCGACTCTTCGATGCTCGCCCGTCTCTCTCCTCGGATCCGCCGTCCCGCTCTCTATTTCGCCTTCCCGCGGCACCCGCCTCCGTCTCTCTCCGTTGCTCGAATCGCGCGTCAGCATCATCAATCCACGTCCGAGTCCGAGAACTTCTCCGTGGCCGTGCGCGACGGGTTCTCGTATCCGCGCCGCTTCGAAACTTCGAAACCTCGAGCCTCGGAGCCCCGAGCCACCGAGACTCCGAGCACCGGCTCCGACTCCGACTCCGACCGACTCCTGTGAAATTTCGGACGGACGATCGTCGACGCGATACCCGATTAAGGAAGTGTCGCGTCGTGTCCGAAAGCGGCGGACGCTCGATCACTCGATGCGATCGAGCGTAGTAGATCGCGTACAAGGACAGTCTCCTCTCGTTGCGGTTCAAGCGGTTCGAGCGAAGAGAAATCAAACTCCGGCCGATAACGCGATCGTTATTGCTTTATCTCGCCTCTACTCTATCGATTGGACTTTGCCTGACGGCGACCGATCGCGACTCAACCTAATAGATTCGATCGGGCCGCGCAGCCGCGCCGATGAATTCGTCGGAACGTTGATTCACGGCGCCTTCGGTATTCGATGGAAAGAATAGGAGCGTTCCCGATCAACCGGATGCTCGGTCATGTTTCTCGGACGCAATCGCGACCGACCTTTGAACCGACGCGCGACGGGCAACCGCGACGCGCTAGTGGCTATCGCGTTCCGAAGCGACTCCCGCGTATCCGAGGATTTTAGCGCGCCGAGCACGAGATAACGTCTAATCTACTTAGAACGTACCCCTGAATTTTTTCGAATTTTTTGAGAATTTCTCTGAATATTTCTCAATAATTCTGAATTTTTTTACATTTTTCTGAATTTTTCTGCATTTTTCTAAATTTTTCTGAATTTTTCTGAATATTTTTTAATACTTCTCAATAATTCTGAATATTTCTGAACTTTTCTAAATTTTTCTGAATGTTTCTGAATATTTTTGAATTTTTCTGAATTTTTCTGAATATTTCTGAATACTTCTGAATTTTTTTTAATTTTTCTGAATATTTTCGAATTTTTATGCATTTTTCTGAATATTTCTGAATACTTCTCAATAATTCTGAATTTTTCAAAATTTTTCTGAATATTTTTGAATTTTTCTGAATATTTCTGAATACTTCTCAATAATTCTGAATTTTTCTGAATTTTTCTGAATACTTCTAATTTTTGTATGAATTTCTTTGAATTTCTCTGAATTTCTCTGAATTTCTCTGAATTTCTCTGAATTCCTCTGAATTTCTTTGAATTTCTTTGAATGCTTTGAATTTCTCTGAATTCCTCTGAATTCCTTTAAACTTCCCCGAATTACTACCGCGTGCGTGCGGAAATTATCACTGTAATTATCATAATAATTATCACTATACCGGAAAAAATCGATTAGTACACAGTATCGATTGTCAGCCGTTCAATTGCGACAGAGAACAGAGTGCCTGCAAGAAAAGAGAGAAATTCTTCGCCGACACGGACGTCGTCCGCGACGCAAAGAGCCCGTGAAACCGACGATCTACCGTCCAGGCGAGCCTCGATCGCGAGATCAACCGCGAATCCCCGAGGTGTTCGCGCTCCTCGCGACCGGAACGAGCCGCGATTCGATTCGCCGCGAATTCTTTTCCGCTCGAGCGAGTCTCTCGAACGAGTATCCGCGTTCGGGCCGACCGCTAACGGTACCGGGCATAAATACGCCGCGCGGCGTTGATTCCGCGGCGCAGCGGCCGAGACGCGAAGCTCGTTCCATTGGGTTTCCTCGTTCGCGATCGGTCGTCGGATTCCGTATCAAAATGAAAAGTCGGCTGTCGGCGGCGCGGGCTCTCTCGCGCGATATCTTCCAGCGAAGAACTGGAATCGAGCCGGGCACCACCGTGTATCTCCGTCTCGGCGCCGTCCTCTCGCCCGTTCGAGCACGCAGATCGTTCCCGACCGGGCCGTGCGATCGCGCGATCGGCGCGCGATCGGAGCGCGAACCGTCTCGAGCCCTTTGGCTTTTTTCACGAGAACCCACTCGCACGGCGAAGGGACTCGCGACGAGGAGAGGGACGGATGGAAAGATAGAAGAGACGGTGTTCGTTAGCTGTGGGGCGGAGGTTGGAATTCAGGCGGTGCGCAGCAGGGTGCCGTTTCTCCTCGAGACCCGGCAGAAAAGGAAGACGGATCGACGCGGCCGGGAGAGAGGAGGACGGAGCTCCGCCGTGCCGCATCTCTCCGCATCTCGCCGGATCTCGTCGCATCTCGTCGCATCTCGCCGCGAGCTCGGGGGACGGTCTCGTACGCGGTAGAATCTCTTCCTGTCCCCGACTCCCTTCGTCCCCCGGCCGCCCTTCTTCGACCAACCGTCGAGGAAGGTCGGCTCGCGGAAAAAAAGTCGCGCGTTTCCCATTTCCCACTTTCCATTTCCTATTTCTCATTTGCCACTTCCGCTGTTAGAGAGAAGCGCAGTCCGCCCTCGCGTTCCACGGGCAACGGCGACGTCCATGCGGGGTCGAGTCTCGCTCGCGAAATTCCACGAGCAAGGTTAACGTCCCCCTCTATCATACGATATTTAAGGTAGATACATATACTATTGTAATGTCTCCCTTACTGACTCAGATTGTCCACTAAAATGGAAAGTGTGTGCGAATGTTGAATGTTCGGAAGTAGAGGGACGTAAAAAATTATGCACCAAAAACGGTGTTTCAAAATATATATTTATTTATCTAGTTTTCGGGTGTTTTCTATATAAACTTGTCAAGAGTTAGTTGAGTACCTTCTTCTTTTTTTTCTTTTCGTGATAAAGATTTCTATAACGCAGTGTCTTTTTGTATTGCCCTACGTACTTGATATGCAGGGTGTCCCAAAAATGTCACACAATCCGAAAGTGGCGGGTTCCTCGGGTCATTTGTAGCAACTTTTTCCTTTAGAAAATTTTTCTCCGAGGCACCGTTAACGAGTTATTAACGAAAAACGGTGACCAATAAGAATCGAGTACGGCTGACGCGTGGCGGCCCAGCTACGAAGCCCAGTTCCGCTCATTGGCTCGGTCGCCTCGCGCCAGCTGAGCTCACCTCTCATTGGTCACTGTTTTTCGTTAATAACTCGTTAACAGTGCCTCGGAGAAAATTTTTGTAAAGGAAAAAATTGCTGCAAATGACTTGAGGAACCCGACCCTTTTGAATTGCGAGACATTTTTGGGACACCCTGTAAACAATGAGTGTAAAAAGTATTCGTACAGATCATTTTCAAAGAAAACTTCGTGAAATGGTAGTTCGTTAATAATTTTTTATTAACAATGAGTCTGTACATATCTTCGGAAGTCTCTGGAATAGATACTGTGCAAAAGAAAATTTGTAACTTGCATAATTTATGAAATTAACAAGAAAAAACAAAAGATCGACAGAAATACAGAAACGATAAGTATTCGTACAGTTTATATTTTGAACTTTCTACAAGAAAATTTGAAACGTAAACATATTACACTGCTGCTTCATAACTATGGTTAAGATCGTCTGTATATTTGGAAACCTTATCGGCATCAGACGCGTTCAAAATTTTACAGTATTCTCCACTGGAATCGCGTTCTTTCATAATAGTTAAAAATTTGTCTAGATGCATAAATGCTTCGTTCATATTTTTAATTGTCAAAGTGTTGACCTCTCGATCGGAACAACATTGTAATCCGATGGCTTAAGTCTGATGTTCCCTGAGAGGGAGCATCCAATTACAATGTAACCTGCTCGACTCACGATGTCCGCTCGGAGGCAACATTCGACCGCAAAGGCTTACAAAGTTGAATCTTTTAACCCTTTGCCCTGGCGACTCTGAGGCGCCACTAAAAATTGCTATACTATTTTTCAAAATAATTGTAATAGTATCAGACTCGTTCATATCTAAAAGACTCTTAAAATTGCAAGTTTTGTACTTGCCAATAGGCTTTCGTATGCATAAGTCGCAATAAATCATATAAAATAGAAACACCGTAGATCAGAAAATATGTTTAAAATATAATTAAAATAGCTTCGAGTGCAAAGGGTTAAAATATGCGAAATAGCGAATTGTGCGAAAGTAGGATGTGCGAAAGTCGAGGGCCGCCTGTATCAATAACTAGAAAAACGAGCCGTGCGGTACGAATAGTCGTGTCCCCTCTTCCCAAACTATGTTTTACAACATACAAAACAGGAACATGTAACATTAATACTGACAGAGAATCAGCAGTTTAGGTAAACAGTTTACGTAAACTCGTTCTAAATGTTGCTATGTCGACTGCGAACCTGCCAGTTTTGCCGCTGTCCTCGCCGACACAAGTTGAAACATCCTGTAAAAATCCTGTCGATCGCACTAAATCTCGGCGAGTAGAACAAGCTCCCGAATATCGGTGCCAGCGAATCGAGAAACCACGTGAAATCGTGCGACATTCGACGAGCGTAAGCCTGCGTACTTCCGAATTGTTTCAATCGCGCGAGTATCATCGTCGCGCGCGGACGAACCTCGTTCCTATGATCTCGCGTGACGTATAGTATCAGTACGTTCCTACCTCTAGGTATTTATCTCGCCTTGGGGTGCGCGCGCGAGCCCGCGGGCACCCAAGAGAGTCGGGTCGGCGAATGCGAGCGCGACGATGCGCGACCGAGCGCGTCCGAGCCGATCGGCGGACATCGTCCGCCGGCGAATCGGTCCCGCCAGAATTTCCCTGCAGGAACCTACTAAACGTTTAATAGAAAAATAGGCGTAACATCGTGCTCGTTTGTCTGTTGCAGCCGTGCAAAGGGGCCGAGTGCCCCCGTCGCAGCCGTCGCTGCCAGGTCTGCCGGGCCAGTTCGCGCTGACGAACGGCGACGCGGTCGCGTGCGCCAGCCTGAACGGTCACTCTTACCTTTCCTCGTACATCAGCTTGCTGCTGAGGGCGGAGCCGTACCCGACCTCGAGATACGGCCAGTGCATGCAGCCGAACAACATCATGGGAATCGACAACATCTGCGAGCTCGCGGCGAGACTGCTGTTCTCGGCGGTCGAGTGGGCCCGCAACATCCCGTTCTTCCCGGACCTGCAGGTGACGGACCAGGTCGCGTTGCTCAGGCTAGTCTGGAGCGAGCTGTTCGTCCTGAACGCGAGCCAGTGCTCGATGCCGCTCCACGTGGCGCCGCTGCTGGCCGCGGCCGGCCTCCACGCGTCGCCGATGGCGGCGGACCGTGTCGTCGCCTTCATGGACCACATCAGGATCTTCCAGGAGCAGGTCGAGAAGCTGAAAGCGCTCCACGTCGACTCGGCGGAGTACAGTTGCCTGAAGGCGATCGTCCTATTCACCACAGGTAAATTCTCTACGAGTCGACAAATTTTCCGCGGACCGCCGCCGCCGCCCTTTTCTCAGCGAATCGTCGGCCGTTCGATACCGCGGCCCCGAGACCGGGGAGACGAAGATTATCTGCGACCGTTGCGCGCGGTATTATCGTCTCGTGGCTCGTGGCTCGCGGACCGGGGCTCCATGGCCTCACGGTTCATGCCAGCGGAGACTGGCCTGTTTCTCGCCGTCTCTCTCGCTCTCCTGCTCCCTTCGTTCTCGACAACCGGCGCGGGACGATGTTATCTCGAAGACGGTCGTTGTTGTCACGCGGTTCGTCGATTCTGGACGAGCTTAGCGGAGCTTAGAAAGGGACAATGGTTCCCAGAGAACGTGGTTCCGCGATCGGTGGCAGGGCCGCCGGAAGAAGTCGAATCGCGAACGGCCGGAGCCTCTTGACGCGCGCGCGATTCTCGTTCGTTGTCCGTCCGTTGATCGTGCCTGCCTGCCTGCTAGCTTGCCTGACCGCCTGCCTGCCTGCTTGCTTGCTTGCTAGCCTGCCTGCCTGCCTGCCTGCACGCCTGCCTGCCTGCCTGCCTGCCTGCCTGCCTGTCTACCTTCCTTCCTTCGTCCAGCTTCGTCTAATCGACGCGAAGATGTTATCGGGCATCGCGGCGACTGTCATCCGGAACGCGATCCCCGCTAGAGCCAGAGACGAGATTCGCAGGCGGAACAATGCGACGAGCGCGGGCTCGTCGATGTTGCGCCGATCGTCATCGAGCTGCGGAGACAATGCTCGCGGTTCTGCTTCCCTTCGTATCTATCTCTGGCCCCCTTCCCTCCGCCCCTCCTATCCTCTCGTATCCTCCTCGTCCTCGTCCACGTCCTCGTCCTCGTCCTCGTTCTCCTACGGCCATCCCCCTCCCCCTCCTCCTCCTCCTCCTTCTCCAGACCAGTTCCCCGGTGCTCCGCCTATCACCCTTTACGCGTTTTAGGTCGTTCGCGAACGATTCGCCGGGCGTCGCGCGTGCGCGAAATCGTTTAACAATGATTACGATAACGCTCCTCGCGAAATCTAAAACGTTGATGGAATATTATTTACTTACGGACGTCTGGCGCGCGCGATATTTACGAGCGCGTTTTACGTCGTTCCAGGAAATTTTCTGAAACGCTTTAAAAGGACCGTTAAACGTTAAACGGTCCGCAATCCGTTTCACCGTTCCCGTTCCCGTCCACCGCCACCTCCTTCTCCTTCTTCAACTTCTTCTCATTCTCCGCTCGATCCGTTCAATTCTCTCGTTTCGCGTGTGTTCGCATCCAACGACAACGACGACGACGACGACGACGACGGCGGCGGCGGCTGCGACAGCGATGCCTCGCGGTAATTATCTGCCGGCCCATCTACTCTCGTTCCTTTGCCGTCCCTCGAGAAATCGCAACCTAGCCCCCTAAGACACACCCGACTTTGATACACGGAGCTGCAGCGCGGGTCGAGAGCTCGACGACGATACGATTTGTTTCGGGAAAGCCGGAAGTTCGTTCGACTTCGTCTTCGCACGCGTGTTCGCGGAAAGCGCGGTGTATTCTTTTATTTTTTATTTTCTTAATTTTCCTCGGAATCGGAGAACCGAGAAATCGCGAGAAATCGCAACCTAGTCCCCTCAGACACAGCCGACTTTGATACACGGAGCTGCAGCGCGGGTCGAGAGCTCGACGACGATACGATTTGTTTCGGAAAAGCCGAAAGTCCGTTCGGTTTCGTTTTCGTACGCGTGTTCGCGGAAAGCGCGGTGTATTCTTATTTTATTTGTAATTTTCCTCGGAATCGGGGAACTGAGAAATCGCAAGAAATCGCAATCTAGTCCCTTAACACTTTATCGTCCGGTCGTGGTTGAGGCTGCCACTCAGTAAGGACTGGCTTAGTCGCGCGCGCATTTGCTCCCAGTACCGGCTAAATTTTCGCTATTCATTGTGTTGTGCTTATTCCTTTAAAAATAATAATAAATAATAATAATTATTATAATTATAATTCATAAGGATATGGGGAGGTCAGCATACAGGAGGTCAGCTACTAACAAAACAGTAAAGAAGCGAAAACCGTCGATAGCTAAAAGTCGATTAATAGGCTATCGGTCGATAAGCATTGGCAATCGAAAAGCCGATTAATAGGCTAGCGATCGATAAACATTGGCAATCGAAAAGCCGATAAATAGGCTAGCGGTCGATAAAGTGCTAAGACACAGCCGACTTTGAGACAGGGAGTGCAGCGCGGGTCGAGAGCTCGCCGACGATACGATTTGTTTCGGAAAAGCCAAATATCCGTTCGACTTCGTTTTCGTACGCGTGTTCGCGGAAAGCTCGGTGTATTCTTTCTTTTTTTCTTTTTAATTTTTCTCGGAATCGAGGAACCGAGAAATCGCGAGAAATCGCGAGAAATCGCGGAATCGTAGAATGCGACGCGTCGCCCCGACGGTTGGGTGTTCAGGGGGTCCACGAGGACGCGGGGACACGTCGTCGGCCCATGCTAAACCATCTCGGTGTAGATACGAGACAACCGGCTATTTATTTCCGTGCTATATGGGCGCGCTTAGCTTGGCTTAGCTTATGCTAATGTCCCGATTCTCGGGCTTTCTCCCTTCAAGCCCTGCGCCCGGCAACCCTCTTTTTCTTCTTTTCCTTCGCCACGAAGGACCCGCTTCTTCTCTCCCGGCCTCTTCGTTTTGTTTTTCCTTCCCTCTCCTTTTTTTTTGCTCTCCCTCGTTTTACTCGGAGGCTGCGCGGATCCCTTCGCTCCGGACGCGATAGGGGCCCTCGGCTGACTTTGTCTCTCTCCCCGCCACGTCGATCTCCATTTTTTCCAATCTCGACAATTTCGCGATTCATCCGACCAGTTCCGTGTGAGCTCGATCCGATTCTTTTCAACCTCTTTTTATCAGCGATTGTCGTTTACGGGAATCGCGAACCGTCGCGAGCCGTCGCGCGCCGCTCAATGGAACCAGCGTACGTAGACCACTTTTAAGACCACTAATATTTCGTTATAAAAGTCTCGAGTGTTAACATTTAAGTTTGGTTTCATCTTCCTTTTTCTTTCTCGTCTTTTTTCTTGCTTTTTGTTCTTGCGTTTCATCTGTTCTTGCGCGACTGCTGTAACAAAGAGTTCGCAACGTTGATAAATAAAGTTGTTGTTATTATTATTTTTATTTGGTGATTTCAACATATATATATATAATAGCACATCTTTGCTTATCTGACAAAAGGGTTTCCCGTTGAAATCACCAAATAATAATAATAATAATAATAACTTTATTTATCAACTTAGATATAGACTAATATTAGACTTAATATTATATTAAAATATTATATTAACATATTTAATAGACTTAGACTACAGTGCCAAAGATGAATCGCAAAGATAGTACAGATCCCGAATGCACGAAAGAATTTCGTTAAAGAAATTAACGCGATAATATGCATACTCTTATCGTTACATATAATAATTATCTCGCTAACTTTCGCCGGAAGAATTTTTTTATCGGTCTGTCGAAAATGGATGGGAAATCGTAAATGACCCACATTTCTCTTTTCGAAAAAGTGAAATTAACAATTAATTAAATACACTTGAAGCGAGATAGTTACCGAGCTCTAATAAAGAAAGCGACGTTCTAGAATGTTCAAATTGTATTCTTAAATTTTTGGGTCTCGACGGTGTTGCCAGTTTGTGAGCTACAGTCGCTTGAAAATTGTACGAATTATGCGCTTCGCATAGGAAGTGCGACATTGGAGGATCATTTGGAGACGATTATGTCTACAGTAAATTATAATTATAATATAGTTATTATAATATTATAATAATATTATAATAATTATTATAATATAATTATAATATTATAATACGTATAATATAATATAATTATAATATTATAATACGTATAATATAATGTATATGCATATCATAATATTATAGTATAATATGTATATAATGTATATATATGTGTGTATATATAATTACTCGCTAACTTTCGTCGGAAAAATTTATTTATCGATCTCTCAAAAATGTACGGAAAATCGTAAATGACCCACACTTTCCTTTCGAAAAAGTGAAATTAACAATTAATTCAATATACAGTAAATTCTCCCCAATTGTCCCTCAGCTTGTAAACTAGAATGGACAATTTGAGAAGTGCAGATACGATTATTCGAGCCTTGCGGCTCTCATTTTTATGATTACCGATTGTCAGCAACTATAAAAACGAGCCGCAAAGCTCGAATAATCGTATCTCCTCTCCCCAAATTGTCCAATTTTGTTTACAAACAGAGGGACAATTGAAGAGAATTTACTGTACTCGGAAGCGAGATAAGACTCGAAACGACAACCCTGGAAATCTAACATTAAAAGTGAAAGCGCCGCTAACGACCGCGCTCGATACCGAACATTTCGACATCCCGTAAGTCCCTAGACCGGCCCGATGTACATTTGATTTGTCACCTTTTGTCGATTGCTCGTCACGTGGTCCCGTCGCTCGGGGTTCGCCGTCGCAGCACGGCGGCGTCGAGCGAACGCTTTCTTCGACTTGGTCGCGATTTAAGCCTCCGCGGACACGGATTTCTCGCATCGACTAGATTCAGCGGTCGAAGTGGTTGCTGCGCAATCCGTCGCGAACGGGAACGTTTCCCCTGCGAGACCAGAGGCTGCGACAAGTGAAAGTCGAGCGTAGGAATTCGTCCTCGAAGGGAGAATTTTCGTTTTTCGTGATCGGTGGCCCTTGTCGCCCCCCCGCGAGAGATCAGCCGCGGCTGCCGTCGCGGGGCTCGCTCGCGTCTAATTGTTTGGATAAAACGGTGGAACGAGGGCACGGTGCATAAAGTATAAAGTACGTTTAGCTCGCCGGATCGACCGTTCCTGTGGTTCGTTCGGCTTTCTCCTGCGCTTGCTCGCGAGATCTCTACCGGGTGACGAGAGATCACGGTGCGCGGCGGCCGTCCTCGGCTCGGCAGCGAAGGAGCGAGCCGAAAAGCTCGCGGCGGTTTCGC